TAATGAGACCTGATGGAATTGGAGGCCCAGAGAAAAGGACGAAGAGAGACAAGAGGAAGAAGTAACTGAAGAACCGAAGAGATTCACGACGCAGGCAATGGCAAGGGGATTTTCTTTGAGAAGGCACTGTTAGTTTTTGAGGCACAGGACCTGAACAAAGAACAGTACACAAAGGTTGCAGCAGCCGTTCAGAATGCAATACAGTGCTACCGTGTCATCAATGACAAGAAAAAAAGAGCTACTACCGAGACATCACTGGATCGTTTTTTCAAGAGGGTAAATAGAACTGAATCCAGCAAGGAACAACCTGTGCCATCAGCGTCAGGCGTGAGTGAAATTGCAGCTTTTTGCCCTCCATCTCCTATTGCTGATGATCCTTCAGCTCTACCATCTCCCACCTCCTCTCCCTCCTCCAGTCAGTAACTCTTCTTGCCTGTTCACTCAATGCCAGCCCAGCCCCTATATGCCAGCTGTTGTACCGTACTACCGTACTTTTCAAGGTACTGTACTGCAAGATTAAAAATGTTCTTTTTAATGTATTATTTCTGTGAAAAATATTATAAACCTATTACAGTACTGTACTATATAGCCGATTGTGTTAGTTGGGTACCTAGGCCAACTCTGTTGGACTTACAAATTGGACTTATGAACGCGCTCTAGGAATGGAACTCGTTCGTACGTAGGGCACTTACTCTTAACTCTAGAACTCTTGGCTTCCTGAGAAAAATCCTAACTTCCCTTGGGTCTCCTCCATGAAGCCAGATCAGAGAGAGCTAGCTGTCCCCCAGCCTGAAACGAGGTAGTTCTTTGCAGAATTGCCTTTCCTGAATTGTACTACACGGGGATTTTCCACTGCATCTAAGGTGTAGCCCTTGGCAACTTGTAACATATGTAAACCTGTCTGGTTTGTTCACTTGCTTACAAATGATCGGGTTCACACAAGTATTAGTATAAGCAAAAGTGTTTACTCAGCTCCAAGGACTTGGGTACAGAGGTGTGGAGAATCCACTAGAAGAGACTCAGCTAAATACTAGGGGAGTCTCTATGATGTTGCCTGAGGAATTTTGCACATCTATGGAACTGGACAAGTTGGGGAGGGCAAGGCCAGCCAGGTGCTTTCTAGATAGGATGACTGTATGCTTGCTTTATTGTTCAAATTGGGATGCTACGGAGAATGAAAGCAGGGAGTTCATGGGCATAAACTGGACCTCTGCCAGGCAAACTGCGGTATAGTTCCAGGTTGTGTGGCACCAGGGAACCTAGAATAACAATGCCTCTGTGAACATACTCAACATAAGGTATGTATTCCATGCTCACGGAATACATTCAACTGCTTTATCGCTTTAGACAACTGCCCTTGTGGGGTCTGGTGTTTGGGCACACCCCAGAACATGTCATTGTTTTTATTATCTGAACACTTCACAGTATCATTTTTATGAGAATCCTTGTGAGAAATTCTTACCTGATCTTAGAATTGTTCTTCCTGTACCTGCAGTTACTTTAGTCTTATGGACACTGTGGATGGTGGATCTGACCAGTTTTCTCTTTCTGCCTTGGCTACTGAGAAGCTTAAAGCGTGTGGCCTGCCCAAAGTGAGTGTGTCGGTCATGGTGGCATGCACTGATAGCCTCCTTCCTGATTCTTTTTTTCATCCCCGCCCTCTGGTTTCCTTCACGTAACTTTTCACTTATGTGATCTTGTACCTTAGGTTTTTTTGTTAGTTGAAGTCCCATAAGTAAAAAAAAGATACTCCCCAACCCAAAGGCCCACAGAGGTGGGGTGGCCATCTTTTCAGTTGACTCCTGCAGTTTTTCAAGCATGTCGACCCTGCCATCTGACTGGGTTGAACCTCAAACTGTACGGCTCTCTAATTCAAACAACTCATCAGGGAGAAAACAATGAGACAGCAGAGTCTGAACACTGACTATTTGACGATATTGAGAAATTTTTATCAAAGTTGTTTAGGTGTGATGGAGGTATTGTGGTTATGTTTTTTTTTATCTTTGAGACGTATATACTGAAATATTTACAGCCAAGTCTGTAATGGCCAAGTCTGACATTAAACAGATATGGACATATAATTCTCTCCCAGGGAGGGGCAACAAATTTTTTTTTTTAATGTAGGAGAAATGTGTTACTACTCAACCTCTACTGTAAGATTGGCAGCCCTGGAAACTCCTTTTTTAATGTAGCATGTTATGGATGTATTCCTGCTTCCAAAGGAATGAGGAGCAGACATTTCCACATGCAAGACAGTAACATATTTTTGAACCAAACCGTCTGCCGTACTCACCCTCCCCTCCCCTGGAAGTAGGGCCAATAAATCAACATTTTAAACAAGGACCCTAGCTGACTCTGATGTAGGTGGTCCTCAGATCTCACCCTGAGAAATTCCACCCTGTAATAATATTCTTTCCACACTCAAGAGCCAGAAAAGCTTTGCTTACTCTGAGAGACCAGGCCATTTTCTTAGGATTCCATATACCTCTTTTTCTTATCTCTAATCACTGGCAACACTTTCAGAAAATAATGGCTTTGCATCCTATTCCACAAAATGAGGGCTCTGTAGTCAAGTCAGTTTGTAATAGGCCATATACCTGCCCTCCTCTTGAGAAAGCCACGATGATAATTACCTCATTTCAAAGTCTGAGTAGCCCTGCAACAAAGAATCCTGTTTCAATTTATTTGATCCATTTCCCAAACTGAACCCAGAGACTTTTTTATGAATGCCTATTAAAAGCTCCACAGAACACACTGAGTGGAAATATCAGACGTACCTATATTTGTTAATGAGCTTAAGTTTTAATGTTTTCAATTTACCATTGCATTAACTGCCATCTCTCAAGGTACACCCGGGAATCTCGTGGCGGTCCAGTGGTTACAACTCCATGCTTTCACTGCCGAGGGTGCAGGTTCAATCCCTAGTCGGGGAACTAAGATCCTGCAAGCCACGTGGCATGGCCAAAAAAAGGTTTTTAATTAAAAAAAAAAAAAAAAAAAAAAAGGAACGCCCTCTAATGCCTCCATACTCCCTGTAGAGAAATAGTCACATCACAGAGCACTGAACTCAGAATCTGAAAACCTGTGGGTAAATGCTTGTGTCACCATTTACCAATCATGTGACCTTGAATATGCTACTTAATCTGAGCTTCAGTTCCTTCACCTGAAAACAGAGTAACAGCTGTCCAATCACTACATTGATGAGAGGGTCACAGATAGCACATAGGAAATTATCTAAATCTGTAAATGGTTTCAAATAACAATGTTTGAGGCTTGGGCCAGAATTGTTTACAACCAGACAGGAACCAGTTGTCCTGCCTGCTTCCCGGTCCAAATTATGGCACTAACCCAGCAAATGACCTGGTGACTGGAAGGGAATCCTGGTGCACACATGGAAACCCACAGGCGTGCTCAGGATCTGGATGCGTTAGCACGTGTCTGTGTGGCAGACAACACCCTCCCCTATTACAGACCTCTTCTGCTCCAGTCAAACTAGAAGGAGGAGGAAGCCATCACCTAACTCTTCATTTCATCTGCACGCACAAAGGAGACTAGACAAACACAGGAGTCCACAGGCATACCAATCCTGATGAGCAGGGTGTAGAAACCAGTCGCATTGCCTGCCACTGGACTAGGAATCTGGGATAATTGTCAGTGCCCTCTTTCGCCCCCACTCCAGGATATTAGATTGCTAAATCATCGTCAGTACACCCATCTGATGAAATTAGGCTCATGGGGCCACTACAGTTAATATCAGGGTGAATCCAGGAATGAACACTGAGACCTCCTTCTCTGGCAGAGAAGAAAAGAACTAAGGTCCTTGTCTAAATATCAAGCTTTTTCTTTGAAAAAGACAAGCTAGAGCACATGAAGAAACCTGCGATTTCCGGCAAGTTTCCTCATTCAAACTATAGAGCTAGTGACATCAATATTCATATCGCTAAAGAAAGTATGACCCTGACGCTTGTTTTGTCATCTTTTTAAAATTATTATTATTTTTTTAATTTATGGCTGTGTTGGGTCTTCGTTGCTGTGCACGGGCTTTCTCTAGTTGCGGTGAGAGGGGGCTACTCTTCGTTGCGGTTCGTGGGCTTCTCATTGTCGTGGTTTCACTTGTTGTGGAGCACGGGCTCTAGGCGCGCGGGCTTCAGTAGTTGTGGCAAACAGGCTCAGTAGTTGTGGCTCGCGGGCTGTAGAGCGCAGGCTCAGTAGTTGTGGTGCACGGGCTTAGTTGCTCTTAGATGTGGGATCTTCCTGGACCAGGGCTCGAACCCACGTCCCCTGCATTGGCAGGCGGATTCCTAACCACTGTGCCACTAGGGAAGCCCCCATCTAACTTTTAAACGGATATTTTCTCTTTTATAATCTGGATCATTTACTCCTCCACCCCAAGACTACTTAAAAAAAAACAGAAACTGCAAAAATAGATATTAGGTGCATATACTTGTAACACACTCCTATAGTTAAACAGAAAAGTTCCAGAGAGAAGAAATAAACAAAAAAACGGACATGAGCAACCACCAAAGAAAAGTTGTTTACATCTGTTTAATGCTAAGAATACAGATATCCTGAAGAAGAGATAAACACTTAAGAAACAGAGTTTTGAGTTTTTTCCTAAACAGGATTTTGATCATGAAAACTAGCGTTCCAAACCTTGAAAACAATAGGGCATACAAACCTAGAAAAATGCAACACATATTTTATCTCTTATCTGAATTACCTGAGAACCCTGAAACATTCTCTTGAAGAGAGATCAGTATTAAAATCCTGCAAAGAAACTGTACCCATAGTGTTGAAACCATAAAACCAAGACCTGGCTTACACATGATAAGAACAAAATAAAAATAAAGCATGTAAAATAATGTGCGGTTTACAGAATTCAAAGAAAATCAGGGTGAAAGAAAGGCAATTAGGACAGGAGACATTCTATAAAGCGGGATGCTCCGATGATGTCTACTGCAAGCCCGGGTGAAGCCAGGCGCCCTGAACGTGTGGAGCAGTCACTGAGAGGAGGGATAAAGCGTGATTTCTCTAACAGCCAGCAAATTAGCTGATGATCTGGCAAAACTTCCAGAATTAAAACTGAGGTAGTTTTCAGTAAGGAACGTTCTCCTTGAAAGCATGGCCAGCGCGTGGTTGAGCCGGGACCTGATTCCGGCAAAGTGAATCTGCCGCTCTTTATTCAACTTTCTCAATGAGTCCCTAGAGCACAGATCCAAGTGGGGGGTGCTCCAGTACTTGGGGTGTCCAGGTGTGACGACGTCGTTGGCTCTGAGGGAAGTCTGGGAGCCGATGGAGCTGGCCACAGAGCCTTGGGAGGACAGAGAGGCGGAAGACCTCAAACTGGAGGATCGCGACACAGACATCTTTGATACTGCTGACCCCTCTTTAGCCTGGGTTCCCAGAAAGGAGAGAACATTCTTGTCCATGTCAGTCTGGGTGCCAGTGCACGCTGTGGCCATGCTGGCTTGCGTCCCCACGTCACTCATGCTCACGGCGGGCGTCTCCTCTCCTGGCTCCGTCTGAGTGGTGGCATCGGTCACCCTCCCGCCCTCCAGCCTGTCTCTGCGGCTGCTGAAGCAGCCCTCCTCACTGATGGTGGAGGCCTCAGAGTCCTCGCGCCCGGCCTCTGCCTGGCCTTCCTCACAGCCTGGCTCGGCCTTCCTGGGGCTGCTCGAGAGCCTGGCCAGCCGTAGCCGCAGCAGGTTGCCCAGCGTGAGCTCCTTGCACAGTGGTTTCTGGTCGATGAGATGGTCAAACCTACCGCTGATCCGGAAGCTGGACAGGAGTTTGGAGCTGATGGGCTTTGACTGTGCGTACAGTATTCGGAACTCCAGGTCAAAATGTTCAACCACTTGGCCGGACAGAATGACCAGGTTGCTGCTGTTTAATTTGCCATCCGTCCATGTAAAACTTGAGGATTAAAAACAAACAAACAGAAGCTGGTAAGGATGAGCGACCTTCATTTACTTATTGTCAACCTGAATATAAAGCCCAGATATCCTGAGACGTAAGTCACAACTCTGGTGGCAGCACACCTACCGTGCAGTGTGAATGCAAGTTGCCTTAACACAGTACATAACCTAGGAATGCGTTAACACAAGAGTAAAAAGGCCACTGTTCAACCAACACGCTAAAATTTACACTCCTCAGCCTCAGACTTGCTAAAAACTAGAAAGGGCTCCTAAAGCACTTGGGCCAGCGCCCTTACCATGAGAAGCGAGGAAGGTGCCTAGCGACGACACGGGGAAGCTAGTGGCAGAGCCTAGACTGGGCCCTGGTCCCTCCTCCATGCTGCCGTTTTCACAAAGGGAGACAGGACTGTCATTCTAACAATGACACTGTTGCTCAACGCACGTTTAGAGCTGACAAGTGGCCGTGCGCCCCTGCCTGTCCAGCGTACCTCCTCCTTCCCATGGTAACAGAACCCTGCCCCCTCCCAGCGCAGACAGCTTCATGTATGCACCCTCTCCAGTCACAACAGGGGTGGGCAGGTGAGCCAGGCTGGCCGGAGTATCCTATCCCCTGGGACGCGGGGACCTATGCAGGGTGGGCATGTGAGCTAGCGAGAGCCAGGGAATTTTGCAAGGACTGATACCAGTGCAGAGAGAAAGAAAGTCTCCCTCTTTGAGAAACAGCTACTGAAGGCCACGTGAGGAAGCCTGGATCTTTGCCTGCAAATGGAGAGCCTGACAGAGAATAAAGATCAACTAGAGAAAAGCAGAACCAGGAGACTGTGTTCTGATGAATGCATGGCCCCTACATCAAGGTGAGCTGAAAACAAAGGGTCCCTTTCTATACTTTCAAGTTATATGAGCCAGTAAATTCCGTTTTGCATACAATAGTTTGAGTTAGCTTTCTGCACTTGGAAGTCACCGCACTGATACAGAAATTCGTATCAGGCGTAGGGTGTCTTACATAAGAAATCATAAAACATAGTAGCAACTCTTGGAACCAAGAACCTAGGCTAATGCAAATTCACCTTGACAGCTGCCTTCAGAGCCTGAGAAGAAAGAAACCCTCAGTGAAATCACGTAAACAGGACACCTAACACCAGGATTTTACAATGTCCTCAACAAATAGAAGCCATCCTCGTCCTCATCCTCAATGGTAGCATATTTCATTTGTAGGGGGTAATTTTTGTATTTTATATTTTAGAACAGCCAAAAAACCATCTGGAGCTAAGTTTGGGTAATACAGATAAATCTTACTTTGGGTGGAAATCTAGTTTCCTCCTGTTATTTCCAAACATCTTATGAAAGAAAGTCTCCAAGGAGAGTTCAGATTTTGTTCCAAGCAATGACAGTACTGTTTGAAAAGAAAGACACCAAGAGTTCCTTGATCTGCTGGCCTCATCTTGCACAAGGCTTTGCACACCCACCTTTACCCAGGGCTGACACATAGTTATCACTCGGGGATGCGTGCTTCTTCACAAATACGTTTTTCTGGGGCTTCCCTGGTGGCGCAGTGGTTGAGAGTCCGCCTGCCGATGCAGGGGACGCGGGTTCG